TCAGGACCTACACGCTCCAGTGTTTCCTGCTCACTCGAGCCGCTCAAACTCTGAGGGTAGCTCAGTACACCCCAAAGGTGACACAGAAGCCATCAGCTTCCCTGAGAAGTTGTAGGCTAGTGTGGAGAGACCAGAGACCCGACCCCTGCAGTGTGTTCCCTGGTACTGCCCGTATTCCTACTGAAAAGTCGACCCCAAACAAAAGATCTATCTAGTAAGTCATTCTGACTCACGGAGCCCCTACAGGACACAGTGGGACTGCCCCATAGGGTCTGCAAGGCTGTAATCTTCAAGGAAGCAGTCACTTTTATCTCCCAACGAGCAGCTGGGTGAATTCGAACTTCCCTTTCAGTCAGCAGCTGAACTTTTAATCATTGTACTAGCAGCACTGCGGCCTAAATCTCGAAACCTCTAAAATCCCCACGAGGACAAGGCTCCACACACCAGAATACTGGGCTGAGGTGGCCAAACCCTGTTTCCAGCCAATCTAGATGCTTCGCGCTGTCTTCTGAAAATCCCTTGTTCATCTCCACTTGCACCCTAAAGGGCTCTGTGCTCTTGAAAATCCCAACCCCAGGAGAGCTCTCCAGCCTCACTTGTCCTTTTATTAAGAAGTTACAAACTGCACGGCGCGGCCTTCTTCAACTGTTTATTTTTATGATTCCCCTGCAGTTTCACCCTCGGACTTCTCTTTTTCCAGAGGACTCAAGTGTCCTTCTCCTCCCTCCTATGTTAATCCAATCTTGGGATTCCTGACCACAGTTCTTCTCAGGCCTAGACGTCAGGCTACTGTGAGGCACAGACCAGTCCACCGCTCTTCTCCCTTCTCATCGTACATACATGCTGAAACCAGTAACCAAAAGGGCCAAGGCTTATCAAAATAGAAGTCCTACTTAGTTCTACCAAAACCTTAATCAGATCACCTGAATAATAGAGAGAGGAATGAAGAGGGTTAGTGGGAAGATCTTAAGGAATTCTTGGATCTAGAGCACAAGAACAGGAACGGGAAGAGAACTGGAAGTAGGAGAACCAAGACGCAGCCCAAGTCAGGAGAGGTGAGGATATCAAGGCGTAGCCAGCAGTGGCGAGCCGTGTGTGGCAGAAGGTCCAGGAGCAAGAGTTGGTCCCAACCCAGTGACGGCAAATTAAGAGACAGAACATGAAAACACGCAGTACAGCCTTGTCTTCAAATCTCTCAACCTCAGCCAGCCGTGGAGACCCAATAGAAGGGCTGCTAAGAATTAGCCCCAATTCCACAGTCATCAGACAGATAGACAGACAGACAGACAGACGAGGGCTCCGGACTTGTCCATTTTGGATACTACATCATAGGGTTGCTAGGAGTTGCAAGCGACTTGAAGGCACACAACAACAACAATTACAAGGTATCTTTTAAGAAAAAATATTTGGGTTAGAAAGTAAACTTTTACATTTTTGGTCTATAATTTTTTATAAACAGAGGACTGGATACTGCCCCTCACAAAATTTAATACTCCTTATCTGGTTAAAACAAATCTCCCCAATAAATCTAGGATGCCTTGTCATTTAAATAGAAGAATAATTATTATTGAGACTATATTAGGAACTCTGAGCAAGTTATATTGGAATACTTGCATATTTCTTATGCTGAATTTCCCTCAAATTTTGCTCGTGGGGCCTCGTTGCAAGAAGCTACATTGCAAACCAAAGGCACACAGTTTGAAGCCATCAGCTGCTAAACAGGACAAGGATAGGCAATCTCATCCCGTGCAATGAACTGCTTCTGAAAACCCACTGGAGGGTCAGCTATGGGTCGATTCCACTCTCTGGTACACAAGAAGTCCCAAGGTCCATCTGGATTTATGAATTAGACTTCAGAGGTAGTTTTTCTTAAATCTGGGGAAGGAATGAGGGCTCACTATGACCCAGCATGATAGGAGGAGAACTGATGCCTTTGAGCTGTGGTGCTGGAGAAGAGTATTGAACAGATCATGGACTGCTAAGAGAACAAATAGGTTCATCTGAGAGAGAGTGAAGCCAGGCTGCTCCCTGGAGGCAAGGATTCTGAAGTTTCATCTGACATACTTTGGGCATGTTGCAAGGAGGGACCAGTCCTTGGAGAGGGACATCATGCTTCGGAGGGTGGAGGTACGGCGCAAGAGAGGAAGATCTTCTCTCAGATGGATTGATTCCGTGACTGGGGTAATGGGGGTGGGTGTGTCAGAGACAATGAGGTTGGCACAGGACAGGGCAGGGTTTAGGGCTGTTGTACATAGGGTTGCTGTGAATCCGAGTCAACTCAACGGCACAGAACAACATCACAGACATTGCTGCTCTTCTCACTTCACTCTCTGAAATCTACTCGGCCTCATCTATCGTCCATTTATACAAAATGGAAAGTCTCTGTGCTCTTTTCTAAACCTCAGGACACGGAGTCAGACAGTTCTTGGTTGCTTCCCTCTGGCATGCGTTACTGATCCTTTTCAGGGGCTCCTTCAACGTGAAGGAATTCTGAGTGTCTTGACAAAAGTTGTGGGTGTTCTCAGATATTCACAACCCTGTGGTGGATGCTGTGAGTGGGCGAGGGTGGGAACCTCAAAAAGTGGAGACAGTGTGCTCGAGAGAAGGGCCTGGCAGGTGCACAGAGGACGGGACATAATGCACGAAGGTGGGAAGGTGAGGGGTTCTGGCAGCTGTAAGGAAGAGGAGAAATGATGAAAGCAGGTGAAAATCCGAGGTTGTCTGCTGGCCCTGACACTTAGACGCACTGCTTCCAGCGACGCCACTTACACAGGCCTCAGTTTCCACCCTTTAAATGAGAGGGTCACTTAAGTCTGTTTCCAAAGGGCAAGGGTCTCAGAAATGTAATCACATTTAGAAGGGAATCCTGATTAAGAAATAAACACCTGCTGGATGGTTAATCCTTTTAAGTTTACATCTAGAACGTAGTGTGGCTAAGGCTCCCATCCTCTGGGATAGAGGTAATGAGAAGCTCAAAGCAAGGGAGACTTTTGACTCTGATTCGACTCTTCTTTTGACTCTGGCTTTATTCTGCTGGTGCTGGTGGAATGTGAGAAGGAACACGAGAACTGGCAGCTTTGGATATGGGTTATTCATACCTGAGACCCTTTGCATCAGTAAACACTGGGAGTGGCATTCAATTGAACCCACAGATAACACATATCCCAGGCCCTCTTGACTAAACCCTTGGTAATTGAATTTGGGTTAAGACATCTCCAGTCCCATCAACTATTCCTCATAACCTGGGGTGGAGAAATCAAATTGAAGGTTCAAGTCAGGGGCCTATATCTGGAGATAGCTGGGCTCCCAGAAAATCACCTCAATTTCCATTGTGAGCAATACTCTGGCCCCAACGAGGTAAGAGGGGCCCCTTGTGACCCCAGGCTTTCAGTGTGGCCATTAATGCCACTGACTGATGATGTGTTAAGGCTAGTTCTATGCCCAGGAACAAGCGCTTCCCACAAACACAACATAACACCACACAACCCAGCACAACAAGACAAAAGCACTCTTATCTTCTCAAGGACAGATGAGCAATCTGGCAAGTCATTCTCTTCTCTGTCTGTGGGCACTAACTTAGTTCAGGGAGCCCTGTGATAAGAAGCTGTGCTGCACGGACATTGAATCGACCAGATGCTCCGTGGAAGGGCGGTCAATCTCCTGCTGTGCGATGAAATGAAAACCCTGGGAGGGTCAGGTATGGGTCAGCTCTGACCCCAAGGCCAACAACACTATTGCTTAGAACAAAACGATCTAGATACATCTAACAAAAAAATGCTGAAAAGCAAAACACATGACAAACTTTATTGTACCACACATATCTAAATTTGCATCGATTTGACACATATCTGATCCTTCTGCAGAACATAAGAGTTGCACAATTTCCTGAAATCATCTTCCTCAGCTAATGCTCACTAACTTCAGCCCATTTTCTGGCTTCCTGCTTTGCTTCTGTCAACTTGCACACTTTGTTATCCGCTGTACCTAACTCTTCCATCTGATCGATGTGCAGGCCCCTGGAAGAGCTTGCTTCCAGCCCGTCGGACTGTGGACGCAGACAGAGAGTGAGCCCCGCTCTGCAGCTCGAGGGAAGTTCAGTAAACACGCAGCTACTTCCTCTTCCTGGTGGGGGCCAGCCCTGAGCACTCTCCTCAGGCCCTCGTATCGCTCCACGAAGTCCACTCTTCCCTGTCGCCGCTTTGCTCCGTTTTTATCCCAAGCTAAGTGGCTGACTGTGGATATTCTGAACAAAACGAACCCCAGTCAAGCTTCATGGAGTCATCCAGGACCTCAAATTGTTATTTCATTATTATTATTATTTTTTAAATGGAGGTAAGGAGGGTTGATGAACAATTCCCTGAACTGCCGTGGCTTGGGACTATCACGGTGGAATAGGATTCAGTTCCACACTCCCCACCGGCCACGAGGCCGGGTAAATAGTGTGTGTGGCAGCCACTCAGAGCTGAGCTCTAACGGAGTGGGCCCACCACATTTTCACTAGGATTTTAAAAACTTTTTAAGGGGAAAAAAAACAGCAATAAAAAGAAAAAGTCAATACACATCCCTTCTGAAATAACATTATCCCTTTGCCTTTGCAGATGATGATGATCAAGTATTCTCCGAATAACACACTCCAATGAAGGGAACACTGCGGCAACGGCAGTCACGTCCCATCTGCTGCGGACTCTGCTGCTTGCCAAAACCTGCCGTTAATGCATTTAGACACATCAGGAATGAGGGCTGATGCTCCAAACTAAGGAAAACACTCAATAGAAAAATAGAGATAGAAAATACATGCTAATTTAATGGCAAACTTATTTTGAATCTTTAACTGCAACAATCTTGGAATTAAAGACGGGGAGGCGGTGAGGACCCCCTTTGCCCCTAAGAATATCTTTGCTATTGTATGTCGTCCTCCGGGGCTGCCTTGACAGTGGGGCCACCCCGACGGTCACTCCGCGGCACGCAGCCTGACCCTGTTCGGGGGGGTCTCGGGACCATCAGTGCTGCAGAAGGAAGTTGGTAGCCACATTGAGGTCGTTATTCGATGCTCGCAGGGCTTCTAAAGCATCGCCTCTGGAAAATCCCATCTCCATGAGCCGGGCAACCTGGAAACAGAAACCAAACATGACATGACGGATGCTGCTGGCAAGACTGATCCACCTGCCAGGCCTGGGGATGGTCTCCACCAGCAGTTCTCCAGTCCTGCACAGAAAAGGTCAAAGCCTATTTCAAAGAAAGACACACACACACACACACACACACACACAC